CGGACCTCGCTATGAACAGGGCAGGAGCCGGACCGAGGGCGGACCTCTCTACAAACGGGGCAGGTGGACGTCACACAGTAATGGGAGGCACAGCCCCACAGAGGAGGAGAAGCCCTCCCAGATCCCACCACCTCCCAAAGCCTCAGCAAACACCCCATACGCACACCTGTTCAGAGGCGCCTCTACAGGAGTGAGGTAGGGAGACCCTGGGCAGTGGTTTGGTGCTCGTGGCGGAGAGTGACCAGAGACACATCACTCCCAACGCCCACACCCTGTGAACGTGCTGGGCTCCAGGGTCAGGGCTTGGGGGCAGGCAGGTGGCAGGAGGCATGAGGTCCATAGTCAGCTGACCCTAAGACAGGGAGATGATCCTGGGCCCCCCGGTGGCCCAGTGGGATCCCAGGTCCTTAAAAGAGGACAAGGAGGTGGAGGGGGTGTCCGAGTGACATCATGGAGGAGGCCCTCCAGCCCTGGGGGAGGGCAGGCCACCAGCCAGAGAACGCAAAGAGGACATTCCCAGCATGGCCCTCGAGCAGGGGCCGGCCCTGCGACACCTGGGCTTTAGCTCAGTGAGGCCCAGGTGGCGCTTCTGGCCCATGGAACCGTGGAAGCCACTAAGTCTGTGATCAGCCACAGCGGGAAACTAAGGCAGCACCATACGCTTCCATGCTGTGGCACCTTCATGACCAGAAAGTCATGTGCACGCAGGGACCATGCCAGGCAGACGGGCTGGAAGCTGGAATGACAGACGAGATCCTTTCTGTTTTCCACAGGGTGGTGAGATGGAAGTGGTCCCGAAGCCAGATGTTTGGCCCAAACCAGAGGCACAGAGGAAGCGGCCGGCGGCCTGCTACCAGCAGGTGGTCAGGGCCACAGGTCTCAACAGGTGCCAGGACACAGACGCTGGGACTCATCCCTCAGTGGCCTCCTGTCTGGGTCAGCTCCCTTTCCTCTCATTACCCTGGCTGTGCAGAGCTGAGCTCTGTGGCCAGCCCTCTCGCAGCCTGGATCCACTGACCGGCGCTTCCCAGCCCGCGGACATCTCTGCTGTGTGCAGGTCACCCGTCCCCAAAGGGCCAAGTGCATCCTGAATGGGGCAGGAAGCCACACAGCAAGACTCTGTGCAGAGACCCCTCTGTGTTACTAAACACTGATCTCTGGATCCCTGAGAAGGGCTTGCCTCACAGGGGATTTTCCTAACCCTGGCACCCCGTGCAATCTGGAGAGGCTGAGAACTGCCCAAACCATCTCTTCACAAGTTCTTCTCTCAGTTTGTTTTTTCTCCTTCGCTGTGCTGTCCACGGCTGGCTGTGCTCTGCCCACTGACCGTACATCTCTGCAGGTGACAAGGCACCAAACACCAATCTGGCCGCAGACCACAGGCTTCACCGCTACCCTTTCTTTTGTCTCTTCCTTACCTGCTCATCCACACACTCCTTCAGGCTGACCCAGAAACACGCCCCGTATCCATCCACGTCTCCCACCTGCCTCATCCGGGTCACGTGCAGTCAGGCGTGGGTGCCCAGAAGCCATGGGGGCCCCTGGAAAAACTGCCCCAGGTCCCATCACTTACGGGTAAGAGCTCCAATCACATCCTGCTTCCTGGTCATTCACTCACCTCGTAGCTTAGGGGCGCCTTCCCCAACCATCCAACCGGAGGTATACTCCAGTCATTGTTTATTAGATCACCCTAAGATATGGTCTTCAGAGCGTTATTACTAGCTGAAATTACCTTCTTTATTTACTATGTGCTTTTTGTTGCTAGACACCCTTTCACTAGAATGGAAGCCGCTCGAGCGTAGGGATCATGTTCCTCTATATTCTCCTTGTTCTCAGCTCCCACCCCAGAACTTACGCAGAGCCTAACTGAGCATTGACAGAGACGTGTGGACTGAACGGATGAATTCAGACACATCCATTAAGTTCCGGGTAAATGCAGAGTTGGCCTAAAACGTTAGCATTTCACATGATTAACCTGTTAAGTGACACTTTTCCTGTGAAATCTAAAAACTGTTATCAGTGAAAGTGAGTTCAGGATAACAAAGCTGGTAATTGTGGTGTAGTGGGGGTGATCAAATTATGGACTAATTTGAAAGAAAAATGTCTTATTTCTTTTTTTTTTTAAGGAAAATGAGTTTTTAAGTTATATAAAACACAATTCTCCCAGTCTCTGTTAGGCCTCTTTGACACAAATACTGTTTGTGTAGAAAGAACCGGACAGGTTTCCTATGGCAACTCTATATAACCTCAAATTGTGCTCTCCGTAGTGGATGTTCATAAATGTAGCAGCTTATGTTTGAATGATAAATAACTGTCAGCAATTATAACTCTGACATTTACATAGCAATATATGTGGGTGGGCTTTTTTGCATAGTAAATGCATTTGACCTTCATGTAAGTAAATACTGGGTTTTAAAATATGTATTTTTTTAATTATCTGCCAGAAGTACCCTTGACGTTGAACAAAAATATCCCAGACTGCTAGAAAGATGGCACAGCTTACCCAATGTTAGTATGAGGTTTAGAAAACATGAGGGGCACGGACTCATCTGCTGTTTTTCATTTCTTCCCATCCTTTCTGTGCTGATTTTTTTTATCTGGAGAGACTTCGCTTTTAAGCAATCATTTGATTTTCACTTTTTTTTAAATTAATTAGTTTATTTATTTGAGAGAGAGAGGATTTTCACGTTTACCTACAAGTGTACCAACTATGATAAAGTTTCATGACAATTCTAGAAATGAAGTGTTTTGATGTGCCAACAGGAGGGGCCCTCAGTTCCCCAAGCACAGCAGTGAGGCCTTAAAAAAGCCATAAATGCAGGAAAAGGGGGGACATGGAGTTTCCCACACTCAGGGTCCCATGTGTGTGTCTACATGTGTATGTGTGTTTCTGGGTATGTCTGTGTGTGCATCTACATTTGTGTGTCTGGTCTGTGTACATGTCTTGTAGGCTGGGTTAGGCTGGGTTACTGTAAATAAAATGCTCAATTTGCTAATAACCATATGTACTTTTAGTGACCAGGAAACAGTATCTTAAGTAGTTTATATAAACATGATGGTTTGTTACTTATATGCGGGTCTTTACTGTGATTTTGACACACTTCAGGAAATTACTGGGGTTTTAGGTGGGTATGTAAATCATTATAGAGTTCCCACTTTAAGTAATGGAAAACAGGATCCCAGCTAGTTTTTTCATGTAGGAAGTCTGATTTTCAAGAATGGATCACTAATGTTAGGTGTGGTATTTGTATATATCTCATAAAAGCTGGGACTTACAGAAAATCTTCTTATTTGTGTTTAATTATCTCGTTAATAAAGTTGTCCGGTTTTTATTTCTAATGCCTTTTCAAGCTACACCAAATCGGACCTCACATGTGTGCCAATGATGAGGACTTCATGGTTCTTTGATCCCCAACCACAGCTCAAGTTTCCTGGACGATCACTGAATGGATGAAATCCCATGTTCTGTGGGGTCTGGGTGTATTTTAAAGGAGGTCAGTTTATTTCACTGGTAGATTGTCTTTTCTCAGCACTAATTGTTAACCTCATAAAAGTGCCTCTAAAGTGTCTTGTTCATCTTGTTTGTTTGTGACGCTCTAAGACATTAGAGTGATGAGCATGGCCAGTTTGTCGGGCAACACCGGAGCAGTTAACTTGCAAATGGACTTTCGCCTGTCATTTTTGAAGTAGGTCAAAAGTTTTAAGTACATATTTTCCACTTCAAAAACACTAAAAATGTTTTATGTGTAGGATTTTACTACTCCCTTTTCCACTTGCATGTACGGATCTTCTAGCTCCAAATAATATGAGATGCTTTCGGTTGACACCCAATTTGCTAAAGGAAAAAGAAAACCCGAACTAGGAACAAAATCTTTACAGAGAGCTCACAGTGAGCCTGGCTCTCATTCCTTTCTCAGCAACGGTAACCGTACTTAACAACAGTTTGCTCTCCACATACTACCTTTAAAGCCATCTGACACGATGCTCCTGGGCACAATCTCGTGTGAACTCACGGGAGCCCCGGACACACTGGGGGCCTCCTGCTCTCAGGGTGTCAACAAAGGGCAGGCTTCGGTTCTCAGGGACTCCTCTCGCTTCCCCTCTGTTCCTTACGTTGAGGATCTGCAGTACTGCTGTGCCCACATTCTGGCTTTCACACGCAGTGCTTACTCTGGTCAGAACAAGAGCAGGGCTGGGCGTCCTGAAGACGAGTCTAACCTCATCTGGGTAAGTTAATTTCTCCAAAGGTCAACTGTCTTGTACAAAGCATGCCAAGTGAAACTGGCCAATTGTGGATACTTACAAATCTATCAAGTACAGAACGCTCTATAAAGCATATATAGACCGCATCTGCCCTGTGGAGTGAGGAAAGCGAGGAAGGATTCTCGGTTGGTGTAGTGGCCCATATAACAATTCAAAAGCATCCTTCACTGATTCAACAAATATTGACCAAACATCAACCTCCTGAAAGGCTCATGCCAGGTGCCGGCAGTCTCCGGGCCAGAAGCATAATAGTGTCCTTATCTCAAATGGGCGATCGGAGGACACCGACTTCTTCACAATGACATTAACCTGCACTCTAAGAATATCTGCACACCCAAAAGGTGATGGTCACAAAGTGAATGTAAAATCAGACAGTTACAAACACTAAAGACAACAAAAGCAAACCAGTCACACTCCACAGAGGAAAAGGAAGTGGGCAGAGACACCAGGGCCTCACTGAGCTGTCCGACCGTAAAAAGTGCCACCTAACGTTGCTCAGGAAAGCTGCATGTGAAATAGAGACAGTCCAAGGGCTGAGATTTCAAAGGACGGCCAGATTCATTAGGCAGCAAATAAAAAGAGAGAAAACAGGAGTGGCAGTACTAATTTTAGAAAAATGGAATCCAAGACAAAAAGCATTAAAGGCAACCAAGGCACCCTTTGGAAGTGACCGTGGGTACAGCAATCACCAAGAAAAATATGACCCAGCAACTTTTATGTGCCCAATGTCAGAGCCTCAAAATGTTTAAGGCGAAATATATTAACAACAAAGGGAAAATTTACAGAAACAGTTTCTAAGAAATTTCAATAAGTCAAAATGTAATTAAGGACATATTATAAACCATATAAAATTATAAACTATGTATAAAAATCTGTACCCTGCAAATAGTGGATACAATATCTTTTTAAAGAATCCACTGAAAATCAGTAACAAGATCGTACAAAAGAGGCCTCAGAGAAAAACCTCAAAATCTCCAGAAGGTAAAAACTGAACAGGTCACGTCTGACTAAAATGAAATAAAACTAGCCACCAATTTAAAATTTAAAAACAACACATATATGGAAAACTGGACACTTACTCTTTCCAAAGGGTATAAAATTACAGTTACAGAAAATGTAGAACGTTTCTGACTGATATGTCAGTCAATCACAGGATGGTGCCAAATCTATGCTCAAAAGCTAATGCACAGACTTGTGTAACTTCATTACTTTTTTAAAAATGAATGAATAAAAACATGAACAAAACATTCAATTCAAGAAGTTTAAAAAAAAAAATAGGTCTGGGCGCCTGGGTGGCTCAGTGGGTTAAGCATCTGCCTTCAGCTCAGGTCATGATCTCAGGGTCGGGAGATCGAGTCCCTCGTCGGGATCCCTGCTCAGTGGGGAGTCTGCTTCTCCCTCTCCCTCTGCCCCTCCCCCTGCTTGTGCTCTCTCTCTCATACTCTCTCTCTCAATATAATAAATAAAATATTTTTAAAATAGGTCTAAAAAAAGAAGAAAAAACAATAGGTCTAAGGATAGTAGAAATAAGAAAATCCAAAGATAATTAATTTTAAAAATCATGTTAAAAATAGGGCACAAACTGAGGGTTGCTGGAGGGGAGTTGGGTGGGAAATGGGGTAACTGGGGGATGGACATTAAGGAGGGCACTTGATGTAATGAGCACTGGGTGTTTTATGCAACTGATGAATCACTGAATTCTACCTCTGAAACTTAAAAAAAAGTGGACAGTGCCTCATTTAAAAGTAAATAAATACATTAAAAATGACAAGAGTGACAAGTATATGTACATTGAATGGTTTTTTAAATTATAATACAATTCTAAATATCACACCATGTTAACAAACTTGGAAATCCTTCTGAAAAGGATGACCGTTCTCTGTAAAAATACAAATGCCTCAATTTCACACAATAAAAACTGTGAGCACATTTGACCAATAGTCTTGGAAGACAATGAAAGTGCTAGGAGATATATCTCAAAGGAAGATTATAAAAAATATGTACACCAGGAAATAGATAATTTCAGTGCTAAAGAAAGTTTTGCAGAAATTTTGTGAAAAGAGGGAAAACCACTGTCCGTACCCTGACGACAGTCTAACCGTGACCCCAGCTGCAGGGAGGGACAAAGCCCGGACGACAGCAGGGCCATGTGCCCCCGTCCTGGCTGCTGAGACGGTCCACCAGGCAGAGTGCCAACAGGAAACACGCGGAAGTAGGAGGTCTGAGTACTTGAACAGGACGTTATTTACAGAGGCACACACGACCAAGGGGAGCGACAGGGATACCGTGGAGGACCACCAGACCACCAGGAGGGAGGAGGGAGGCAGTCATGGGGTCAGACACCCTGCCCAGCTCCCGCTGCCATCCTGATCTGCTCTGCCCTCTAAGCTGGGGTGAATCCCGCTGGACAACCCCAGCCTCCGCCTGAGGACGCGGGACTTGTGCACACCAGGAACTCCCACCCTCAGGGCCAGAGCCAGGAGTAGGAGGCACAGGAATCTGGGAATATACCATCAAGGCTTTCTGAAATGGGGCTCTGCTTTCAGAGCTGGGATGAGTGGGTTACTTAGGTTCAACCCTGTCAAAGACGGAAATTAAAAATCCAGCCTAGAGACGGCTAAGAGAACTCTGTTTTCATTAGCAACTGTACCGAGTGTCATCCATGGTACAGACCGAAAAAATATTTCTACAAAATAGGATAAATGAAAAGTTACTAACCTTAAATATAAAGGCTCTATGCTGAAATAAAACAGAAAAATACAAAAAATACTTTTCATATGGACAAAGATCATGCATAGGAAATTCATATAGAAAATTCCAATCTCAAATATGAATATTTTTAAACTTTTAATCTCACTTATTAAAAAAAACAAAGATAAGGTATCATTTTTCATAATAAAACTGGCAATCTTAAAAAATGACAATATTGATGCTGGGAAGAAAGTAGTCATCCAGGCGTCTGTTCAATGGCCTCACCTTGTGTGCAAACGCTGGTCTTTGGGTGATACCATGCTCTGGTCTCTCTTACCCCGGCTGTACAAGGAGCTAGTCTGTGCTCATGGTGGAGTTCAAGGTTATCTGGGATAGTGCGCTTCATGGTTAGTCAAGTTAAATCTTTACTCGGAAGGAAGAAGCAGTGGACAGCACTGAAACGCCCAGATGTAAAGACCAGTGCAGAGTAGGCAATAATCCAAAACAAAAACGGGAATTCGAGATAGCCTGGCTTTGGTTTTTTGTTGTTTTTTCTTGCAGAGACGTCTTACACATACTCACAGACTATAATGGCATATTTTCTGACAAAGGAGGTGTTCAACGTAGACAAGCTAGGCACAAGAAGTAGAAGGACATGTTTCCTACCCTCAAGAAACTCACAGTCCGGCTGGTGAGAGAGCTAGCATATGGTGAATGTGTTTTCAGTGTGTCCAAGTCCCTTAGGTGTGTTCACTCCCTTAACTCTCAGTGGATTTGGAAATGAACTTCTTGGTGGCTTAGCCACTTCACTTATTAGAGGAACACAAGCTTAAGGCAGATACCTATGTTTTTGTGTCACTGAGATTTTTCTAACTAAAGTTTCAGAATAGTCTCTCTCTTAGGGGGAAAAAAATGGGCCTTCCAAACTTCCCTAAGCCTTTGGGGAAGGCCCTTTCCACATTCTATCAACTTGAAGAATCTGGCACCATGGCTGAAGAATGAGACAAACCCAAGTGGCTCCCTGTGGTCTGTCTTTGGACTGAGTTCCAACTTCCCCACGTCTCAGTTCCCTTCCCTCCAAGAACAGGACAGGCTTTAGGAACCCCTCAATGCATGTAGTGAGGATGAAATGAGATGTCGCTGCTCAGCAGAGGTTGCTACGTTCTGGCAACAGGAAAACTTTCACGACGGAATTCTGCTTTTTGTACTAAAGTGAACAAAAATTCTTACTGGGAAATGAGAAATCTTGACTTTTCTGCTTTCAGCCAAGGTTCTGAAGATGCAGGGCTTCCCAAAGGTCTTGGGAAAGGGAGGGGAAGGACCACTGGGATGTCTGTCGTGAGGATGGCACCTGGCTTGAGGGTCATGCCAACGCGTCTTGCGTCCCTGGGCTAGGACACGGTAGAGAAGGACTTTCCCACCCTCTGGACCCTCTACAGCACAAACACAACACGTCCAAACAAGAACAAGCTGGATGGATGTCGGCTGCGGCCAGAGAGCAGTCTGCTTACCTGGCTGTGTCGGAAGCTTCCAGATGCTGCGGGTAGGTGTGGGGAAGGGTTGAGAGTTCCTGGGCCATCACGTGCTGGGTGTAGTCGTCCTGCCACGTGAAGCCTGGGGAAAGTTGAAAAGCTGCATTATCAACCCAGAAGTTGAGCTAAAGGTCTTGTTTCAGTCTCAGGATAAACTGCTGCCATTTCAAAGTTTGCCCTCAATGCCATCAACAACCCATGGCTCCCTCTCACTGTGGTTTATTAATAAGGTCTCCTTATAGAAGTCCCGATCTCCTGAGACCACTAGACCAGAAATAGGACGGACGCTTTGCCGGATGAGAAGCACAACGCCCAGGGGTGCCATGGCTGGATGAAATGAGCTGTCGCCAGGTGCACATTTCACGTGGAAGAGGGATCTGTCCCCGTGAAAGATTCAGACTTTCTCACAGAAAGGTTCTGGTCACAGCAAAGACTTTCTTGACCCAGATGTGTGCACATTTACCCACCACTTGGCCACTAGCCTGCCTGCTCACCACCATATCTCGGGCAATTCGTTCTAACTCCATCCTGCCGAAGAGCCACACAGTGGTAATGAAATAAGGGTATTGTCACTGTGAAGGCAATTATCATGGGGCTTAATGTGCTGTATCTGGGAGCCAATTACATTATATTTATACTCAAATGTTATGACAAAGAGCTTTATAACAAGAGCGAAGTAGTTATGAAGGCAAAATCCATGTGATTATGCATTAATTACATGCACTGCAGATCACATGATAATTATGCTCAGAATTACCAAATAACTCCCAAGAATAATTATTATGCAATTTGTACATTTTAGATCTTATGGTAACACTTTAGCACTTAGAACTACCCCATGCAATTATCCATAATTATCTAATCACTAAATATCATGTAATTACAGAGATATATTTTTATGCCCTGTTCAAAAACACATTACCAAAATCTTCACATTAGGACGGCTCCGTGCCTGTTTATGTGTGTGTGTGAGTGTGGTATAGGGAGTTCCAGAACTTGCTGAGAACCACATGTTCTGGGGAATAAAAAGAAGGGCTCAGCAGATATAAGCTGCCTTCATGAACACACTTGAATTCTTTTTTCAAATGCAAATCTAACATTTTTTTTTTTTACACTTACAAATGGCAAGATTCAAACAGTTGAAACATTTCTAAATCTCAAAAGGCTCTATGGCATTATCCAAAAGAGAAGCTGATGGGGAAATTCACCAAACAGGCCGGCCTCCTATGGCAACTTGTTCTAAGCTGCTCTGCATGAATATAGCATTTAGAGAACGGGTCACTGCAGGGACACCCACCCCACAGTCACCGTTACCCTTACTTTAGGATTAAGTGTACTTAATAATAAGCAAGAATCTTCCATTTGCCAAAAGTGACTAAAAAACCACCCATATGAAGTGTATGGCTTATGTGGCTGTTAACCATTGGTTCATTCCCAGGAGTATTCTCAATTGAAAGCACAGTTGCAATATTAGCATAATCCTAGCACTGTGGATTTAGAGAATAAGCATAGTTTAAACATGCCATTCCCAAAAGGGTGGTCTTAATATCTACCAGGAAACAAAAAAATCAAGAGCACAAAAGGAAGTGCCTATAAAAAAACTTTCATCTGTAAAATTTAAAATAACAAAACATCAATAATATTTTTTTATCTAAAGAGCAGAAGAGTCTGAGCTATGTTGATTCTGGGGTCTGTGAGGAAGACTCAGTCACAACAGTTGGCCAACTGATAGAAGTGTTATATACAGGCAATCTGAGGGGAACCCTGAACCCCTAGACTGGCTTCTAAGCTTTCCCGGGAGCAGGCAGAAACCGGGCACTTGGATATAAAAACCAAAGCAGTACATATACTGGGGCTTAGACGTCTTCTCTGAACGCCTGTCCAAGGCGTACTGGAGGAGCCAAAACCCCAAGAAGAGAAGATCTGCTGCCAGGAAGACGGAGAAGATGTACTTCCCCTACCCTGCCCGCCAGGCACAACTAAAACCCTGGAGATGGTATGCACAGAAGGCTCTGAAGGGAGGGCAGGAGACAGGCTGCTGTGCTCCCAGGGAATCCGAGGAACCACACATGCAGGGTGCCCTGGGCTGTCCTCTGGCCTGTGCACCTCACACTGGAGCTGAGGCAGCAACCTGGGAGCACCAAGTGCAGGAGAAGCCCTGACTGAGGTCGCCTCTCCCCAGCCAGAGGGCCAGGAAGGGATTGACTTAGCACATTTTAGACAATAACAGCTCTCCTCCCATCAAACACCACCAAAAAAACCCACAGCCCACCCATACCCATGCTAACAAAGGCCAAGGGGGACCCTGGGCGTCCTCTCTTATGAAGCTGGAATGAGGCCCCTGACCTCCCCTGACCCTAGCAGGGTCAGGGGAACAGTCAGGTAGGCAGTGGGTGGTATACCCACCCCCCATGTCAGACCCCCATAGAGACCACATGGGGAGTTCAAACTCCTACCACCTACCCTGCCCAGCATATGGACAAGATCCCCTCCCTCCGATGTCAGCAGAAATCTAGGGGGGAACTTGGATTTCCATAGCCATGTTAGTAACAGAGACCCCCCACACACACACACACCTTGGCAGAGCAGTGTCAGAAAAAGCTGTAAAACACAAGGCTTAAATGAGATCCAGATGCTCATAATAGAATACTAAAATGTTCAGGTTTCAACAGAAAATCAGTTGTTATACCAAAACTGGGAAGTTCTCAATCTGTAGCCACTAACACTGAGGCTGGAAGATGTTAGCGTTACCTGCCAAAGATTGTACAGCTTAATAAAACTGCTTCAGTGAACAATTATGAACATACTTGAAAGAAATGAAAAACTAGAAGGCTTAGCAAAGAAACAGAAAGTCTCAGCAAACAAATACAAAAAGAACCAAATGGAAATATTACAACTGAAAAATACAATAACCAAAATAAGCAGCTCAAGTAGATGCACTAAATAGAAGGATGAGGGACAGAGGGAAAAACCTGTAAACTAGGAGAACAGAAATCACCCAATTCCAACAATAGAGAGAAAACAGTCTGAAAAAAAATATGGACAGAGCCTCAGGGAGTGTGGGGCTGTAACAAAAGATCTAACATCTATATCATCAGCGTCCCAGAAGGGGAGACAAGGAAGGCAGGGCTGAACGGGCATTCAGAAAGAAACATGATGGCTGAAAACTCAACTTTGGCAAGAGATGGAAACCTAAAGATTCACAGAGCTGAGGAAACAGGGTAAACTCAGTCTTCTCCCAGACACACAGGCAAACTTCTGAAAACTAAATGCAAAGAAAAAATCTTGACAGCAGCTAGAGAAAAATGACACCTTACCTATGAGGGAAACACAATCCAAAAGACAAAGGATTTCCGATCAGAAACCACAGAGGCCACAAGGAAATCACACAACTTTCTTCAAGTGCTGGAAGAAAGGAACCATCAGCCTCGAATCCTGAAAATCTACTAATCCAGATACACATCAAAAATATCCTTCAGGGGGGCGCCTGGGTGGCTCAGTCAGTGAAGCATCTGCCTTCAGCTCAGGTCATGATCCCAGAGTCCTGGGATTGAGTCCCGCGTTGGGCTCCCTGCTCAGTGGGAAGCCCGCTTCTCCCTCTCCCTCTGCCCTCCCCCCACTCATGCTCTCAGAAATAAAGAAAATCTTTTTAAAAATTAATTGATTAAATGTCCAATATGTGCACTCTGCTATAATATGCACTTTGCAAGAAGCAAGATCACAATAGATATGGTCACACACCCAGAAAACCACCAACTCAGCACCAGACAGGAGGACGTCACCGACCTTTCTGATGTAAAACTTACTATTCACGGATATTTTATTTTACACGATCTATAAATTTAACCATTAATGAAATACAACATGAATCTATTTATCACTCTAGAAGGGGTGTCACTGGAACATTTCCACCTGCCACTATTTAGTTTTAAGATGGTAGAGCGAACATAAACAAAATTCATCTAGATCCCTTTTAGCAAATTCCATCAACGTTATCAGTCAATGCTAGACTATAAGCTTTATTAACAAAGAAAAACTGAACCAGAGAGTAGGCTACGAAAACTTGATTTCCATCTTGTGTGCATGTGTGCGTGCACCCGCATGAGCCAGCGCTACTCAACACTTCCTATGTGCCATGTTCTCCTGCCAGAGACACTGCCACTTACTTGCGCCCATGAGTCCCAGGGGCTGAGGATGCAGCTCGCGGCCGCTTAGCTCGCTTTACCTCCACAGTCGGGCTGCTTTGCATCCTGGGCGTACAGACACAGAACTTCATATAAGATTGGAATTCGCTAAATATTTGGAAATAAATTGATAAAGTAGAGGGAGTCAGGAACATATTAGGCATTTAGTTTTCAAATCTGTGAAGATCTGAGGGTGAAAAAAGACGCAGTTCTTGCTCCCATTAAGGGACGTACATTCCCACAGAGGGAGACCCAATAAACACAAACACACAATTAAATAAGATGTTGGTCTGTGGTAAGTGCTGTGAGGAAAGCAGACTGGTGATGGGTGAAGAAAGATGGGCAGCCGTACACAGGTGAGCGTGGTGGACAGGGAGCGTGGTGGACAGGTGAGCATGGCACACAGGTGAGCACAGTGGGCAGGACTCACTAAGAAGAGCAGGAAAGGGGGCGGAGCAAGATGGCGGAGGAGTAGGAGACCTGGATTTCGTCTGGTTTCAGGAATTCAGCTGGATAGGGATCAAACCATTCTGAACACCTACGAACTCAACAGGAGATCGAAGAAAAGAATAGCAACAACTCTCTGAACAGAGAAGCGACCACTTTCTGGAAGGTAGGACGTGCGAGAAGTGAATCCGAGGCGATATTCGGGAGGAGAGACGGCGGGGGAGGGGGCCTCCGTCGGCCGCTTCTGGCAAGTGCTAGAGCCGCGGAGCACAAAATCGGACCTTTTAGAAGTCGGCTCCGCGGAGGGACGTCGCTCCAGTGGCTAAGCGGGGGGTGGAACCCTCGCGGGACAGTGTGGTCTTAGGACCCTTGGGGTCACAGAAAGACCGGGGGTGCCTGAGTGCGGCAGAGCTCCCAGGGATCGGAGCGGGGAAGCCGGCTGCAGAGACAT